ATATATATATTTTTTTTTTTTTTTTTTTTTTTGTAAACAGAGTCTCACTCTGTCGCCAAGCTGGAGTGCAGTGGCGCGATCTCGGCTCACTGCAACCTCCGCCTCCTGGGTTCAAGCAATTCTCCTGCCTCAGCTTCCTGAGTAGCTGGGACCCAGGCACGCGCCACCATGCCCAGCTAATTTTTGTATTTTTTTAGTAGAGACGGGGTTTCACCATGTTGGCCAGGATAGGCCCGATCTCTTGACCTTGTGATCTGCCCGCCTCGGCCTCCCAAAGTGTTGGGATTACAGGCCAACGGATACATACTCTATTTCCAAAGGGGTTAGATACACAGAGATAAATACATTAATGATAGAGAGATGGTAACTAGGCCAGTCGACAGCGTATTAGTCGAAATCCGACTTGTGAAGGGATGAGGGGGCATGGGAAGCTTTAGGGGAGCTTGCGCTTTCCTGGCAAGGTTTTATTTTTGTTCCGGGAGCTATCAGCCAGCGGAGAGATCTGTGAGAAGGGATAAGACGCAGGAGAAGTAGCGGGCAGGGCCTCGGGGGGACCCACGTGAGCGGCGGAGACAGCGCCCAACCCGCTCCAGCCTGGAGCAGGAGCACCAGCGTGGCCCGTGGAGCCCGGCCCCTCACACGCAACCACGGAGAAACCAGACTGGGCGACACCCAGGAAAACGGAGGAAAGGATCGGCGAACCGCTCCTCCAATGGGAAAGGCTGTGTTTGCGGACCAATAGGGCGCCGAGAATGACACTCGTCCGCGCGCCGGCTTAGCCAATCGGCTAGAAGCAGCGAGCGCGGGCGGGGCTGGAGGGCCGCAGCCCCGTGGAGCCGCGCGGTATGGCGGGCGGGGCCCGGGAGGTGCTCACACTGCAGTTGGGACATTTTGCCGGTTTCGTGGGCGCGCACTGGTGGAACCAGCAGGTGAGGTCTGTCGCCAGCTGCCCCCGCGGAGCCCTTCGGGATCTACAGTCCCGACGTTCAGCCGGCCTGCCTCGTCCTCTCTGCCTCCCCAGGATGCTGCGCTGGGCGGAGCGACCGATGCTAAGCAGCCGCCGGGAGAGCTGTGCCCCGACGTCCTGTATCGTACGGGCCGGACGCTGCACGGCCAGGAGACCTACACGCCGCGACTCATCCTCATGGATCTGAAGGGTGAGGTGGTGGCAGGGTCAGCCGATGCCGCGTGTTTCCCTTCCGTGTGCCGAGTCCCTGCCCTGCCGTTCGCTTCAAGACGCTCCCACCTTCCTGAGTTCAAGGACCAGAGATGAAGAGCTGAGCGCAGTGTGCCAGCACCCGAGGGGCGCAGGACGTTAAAACTTACTCTGCTCCAGAGCCATCTCGGGAACACGCTGCTAGGCCTTGGAGACGGCGAGGACTTGAACTGCAGCACTCCTGTCGGACCGCTGAATGTAGTTTTTGACCCCGGTCCCATAGCTAATGACTAAGCTGGGAACGGAAATACAGAATCTAGATTATCCTATGCCTAGGTTCCCCCCCACCCCCAACTGGTGTATATCCCAGAAAGCTTGGAAGAGCCAAGTGCTGGAGAGCTGGTGACAGCAGGTGATCAGGAAGTTTAGCTAGAGGGGTAGGGTGCCCCAGGCTTTGACCTAACATTGTCTGTTATTTCTGTACAGGTAGTTTGAGCTCCCTAAAAGAGGAAGGTGGACTCTACAAGGACAAACAGCTGGACGCTGCAATAGCATGGTGTGTAATTGATGAGAGGGGTGGGGAACGTGTGTGTATGTAGAACGCTGGAGAACTCATCAGAATGCAGTTTCTTTGATCAATCTCCAATCTCTTTCAGGCAGGGGAAGCTCACCACACACAAAGAGGAACTCTACCCCAAGAACCCTTATCTCCAGGACTTTCTGAGTGCAGAGGTGAGGGCCACTGCCCTGAACTTTTTAACCCAGTGCTACAACCCGAGGGCCTCCATAGGGGCAGGTAAAAGAGGATTTTAATCACCTTAAATGACTTAAAATGATATTTTTGGAAAAAGCACATCTTTTCCTAAGGACCGCGACTCCATGAACAGAAAGGAGGTTGTGTGATGTGGTCAACCAACTCGAGGATAAATCAACCTTTTCCTCTAAACTGCCTGGAACTAAATGAGGATTTTTCTCACCCCTCCCAGGGTGTGCTGAGTAGTGATGGTGTTTGGAGGGTCAAATCCATTCCCAACGACAAAGGTGAGACTTCCCCAGATACTGGTGGATGGGGGTCTGGGTGGAGCAGAAATGTGGAGAAAGGTACGTTTCCTCTACTTGTCTTCAGGTCCCCCACAGCTCACCACGTCTACCACTCCAAAACCACTTATCCCTACAGAGGGCAGCATCAGAGTCTGGTCAGACTTCCTCAGAGTCCATCTGCATCCCCGGAGCATCTGTATGATTCAGAAGTACAATCACGATGGGTATGGAGGCCCCAGAGGCTGTGAGGCAAGAAACTTGGGTCCTCACCAATGCTGGATGAGGCTCTTGAGGCCATCTTCCCTGCCCTTCCCCAGGACAAGAGGTTGAGGAGTTGAGAGGAAGAGATGCAAGTCTTGGGTCGTGTTTATTTGTGGCAGGGAAGCAGGTCGGCTGGAGGCTTTTGGCCAAGGGGAAAGTGTCCTAAAGGAACCCAAGTACCAGGAAGAGCTGGAGGACAGGCTGCACTTCTACGTGGAGGAATGTGACTACCTGCAGGTAGTGGTGTGGCCATGTGTGCCCCAGGGTGGAAGCTCTTCTCATCCTCCTCCCTAACTATCTTTCGTCACTCACCTCTGCCCAGGGCTTCCAGATCCTGTGTGACCTGCACGATGGCTTCTCTGGGGTGGGCGCTAAGGCTGCAGAGATGCTACAAGATGAATATTCAGGGCGGGGAATAATAACGTGGGGCCTGCTACCTGGTCCCTGCCATCGTGGGGTGAGTGGAACTTGGAGGAGTAAGCAGTCACACGGTGGGGAGGGAGGGAGAAACGAGAATCCCAGTGGGAAAGTTGCTTAATGCAGACCGCTCTTGTCTTCCCCAGGAGGCCCAGAGAAACGTCTATCGTCTATTAAACACAGCTTTTGGTCTCGTGCACCTGACTGCTCACAGCTCTCTCGTCTGCCCCTTGTCCCTGGATGGGAGCCTGGGCCTGCGACCCGAGCCACCTGTCAAGTTCCCTTACCTGCATTATGATGTAAGGCTCGGTGCTCTTGTTCTGACTGCAGCTGGCTGTGGGGCCTCCTCATATTCCCAAGTCAGCCACTGTCTGTAAGTGGCTGTCCCTGAGGCCTGAGCTTGAACTCAGCTGTGATGTGGCCACTCAGGTCACAGTGTCCTATGCCTGTCCAGCCTGGGGCCAAACGTATCCCTGCTTCATGCCCTGGATCTCTCTGCCGTTAATACTCTGCCTCCACACTCTTCCAGGCCCGAGGCCAAGTGCCCCCCTGGTGTCTTCTTACAGGCCACTCTGCCCTTCCACCACAGTGCCATCCTGGCTACAGCCCTGGACACACTCACTGCTCCTTATCGCCTGTGCGCCTCCCCAGTTTCCATGGTTCAGCTGGCTGACATGCTGAGCTTCTGTGGGAAAAAGGTACGACGCTTTGTGAGGGGCTGGCCCAGTGCTCAGGAAGTCCTGTAACCTGTTCTCTTCCTTATCTTTAGGTGGTGACAGCAGGAGCAACCATCCCTTTCCCCTTGGCTCCAGGCCAGTCCCTTCCTGATTCCCTGATGCAGCTTCGAGGAGCCACCCCATGGACCCCGCTGTCTGCATGTGGTGACCCTTCTGGAACACGTTGCTTTGCCCAGTCAGTGGTGCTGAGGGGTATAGGCAGAGCCTGCCACACAAGGTGAGACCTGTTGGTCCTTAGGGCCCGTGTCAATTTTCGTTTTATGTCCTTTTCTCCTTGGTTTCTCTGGGCCATTCTAATACTGTTCCCTCCCCACCCCTTACAAAAGGAAAAAAGTCTCTGAACATTTTGATCGAGCTGATGGCCTGAGAACATAAGAATCCATTTTTCTGAGACGGAGTCTTACTCTGTAGCCTCGGCTGGAGTGTACTCCAATCTCAGCTCCCTGCAACCTCCGCCTCTCGGGTCCTGGTTCAAGCAATTCTCCTGCCTCAGCCTCCGGAGTAGCTAGTATCACAGGCATGCACCAGGATGCCCAGCTAATATTTGTATTTTTAGTAGAGTCTTGAACTCCTGACCTCATCCGCCCACCTTGGCCTCCCAAAGTGCTGGGATTACAGAAGAACATAAGAATTCTTTGTTTTTAGGCCGGGCGTGGTGGCTCAAGCCTGTAATCCCAGCACTTTGGGAGGTCGAGGCGAGTGAATCATGAGGTCAAGAGATTGAGACCATCCTGGTCAACATGGTGAAACCCCGTCTCTACTAAAAATACAAAAAATTAGCTGGGCCTGTTGGCGCTTGCCTGTAATCCCAGCTACTCGGGAGGCTGAGGCAGGAGAATTGCTTGAACCCAGGAGGCGGAGGTTGCGGTGAGCCGAGATCACGCCATTGCACTCCAGCCTGGGTAACAAGAGCGAAACTCCATCACAAAAAAAAAAAAAAAAGAATTCTTTGTTTTTTATTCATGCTGCTATAGTCTAACGGTGGTTTGGGCTTTGTTCTGGCAGTCAGCTTACCCCAGGGACTCCTCCACCCTCCTCCCTGCACGCGTGTACCACTGGGGAAGAAGTGCTGGCCCAGTATTTACAGCAGCAGCAGCCTAGAGCCATGAGGTCAGTGTGACAGTTCGCTCCTGCCCTTCTTGCCAACCTCAGCCCTCCCTTGACTTCACTTAACGGCTGTTCTCTGCCCCCCCAGTTCTTCCCATCTGCTGCTGACTCCCTGCAGGGTGGTTCCTCCTTACCCCCACCTCTTCTCAAGCTGCAGTCCACAGGGTTTGGTTCTGGATGGTTCCCTGAAGGGAGCAGGTATGTGTGAGATGAAGAAAACATTTCAAGTATGGGAGAGTTTTTACCATCTCCTTCCCTGGATTAAAAGTGCTTCAGGAGGCCACAGTTAACCATTCCTTTATTCACCCTATGGCTCCCAAGAAGTGTTCCTCCTCTGGAGTACTGGTGTACTAAGGGGGGCAGTACACAAAATTTACTGAGTTTACAATCAAGACTGCCAAGGGTGGACTTCCTTATCAGTTTGACAGAGCCCTGGGGTAGAATAATCCACCTACAGGTCTGGCTTCTCTCTCCCTCCACAGCAGTGGAGAGCATCCCAGTGTTTGGGGCACTGTGTTCCTCTTCGTCCCTGCACCGGACTCTGGAAGCCTTGGCCGGAGACCTCACCAAACTCGATGTGCGGCGCTGGGCCAGCTTCATGGATGCCGGAGTGGAGCACGATGACGTAGCAGAGCTGCTGCAGGAGCTGCGAAGCCTGGCCCAGTGCTACCGGGACGGTGACTGACAGCCTCGTGGACTCAAGTTCCCAGTGTTGGGGAGGCGCTAGCTGGCAGTAACAACTGCTGGATGCAGGTCTCTGTGCAGAGAAGCTGTGTGGCAAGACTAGCGACACCAACATACGCACTTACTACGTTTAGAAACCCTGTGATTAGACCACAGAACAATAAATATATGCCGTCAGAGCAAAAAAAGGTAGAGAAAGGACCTGAGCTCCACTCTCACTTGATGCTATTTACAGAGCACATCCCTAAGGTTTTCATAAAAGACCTTGAAGGATGCCCAGGATGGCACAGCCCCTGGGCCCGGCTCCAACCTCCAGCCTTTGTCCTCATCCTGGGCCCCTGCCGTCCAGCTTTGTAAACCGGGTGCAAGGGTTGTACAGGGAGAGTGCAGCTCCCCTCCTCGCTGGTGTCAGGGCGCCTGTTGGGTTTGGTCCTGTGTAGCTGATACCCAAGCATTCCCAGAGTCTCATTCATCCAGCTCCTCTTCAGATAGAAGGTCCCCATGGTCAGAGAGCTGGTCTGCATTGCTGGTACTGGTCGCATCATCCTCATCCTCAGAGCTGGCCTCACAGGCAGTGTGGAAGAGCTGCATGAGTTCTCGAAAACGGTGGGAAACCTGAGAAAGAAGGAGGGCTGTATTCACCGATCCTTAGAAACAGGTTAACATCCATGAAGCGCTTCAGTCTTATTTGGGAACTTTTTTATTTATTCCACACAGCAAGGTTGGGAGAGTGATGTCTTTATAGTAAGGACACTAAGAAGCTAAATGTTTTGCCCAAAGTCACACGCCTCCTAAAAACAAAACTAGAATGGAACTCAGGGCTTCTACCTCAAAATCCTGGCTGGGCGCATCACCTGAGGTCAGGAGTTCAAGACCAGCCTGGCCAACATGGTAAAACCCTGTCTCTACTAAAAAAAAATAAATTAGCCAGGCATGGTGGTGGGCAGCTGTATTCCCAGCTACTTTGGAGGCCGAGGCAAGAGATTCACTTGAATCCAGGAGGCAGAGGTTGCAGTAAGCTGAGATCACACCACTGCACTCCAGCCTGTGCAACAAGAGTGAAACTCTGTCTCAAAAAAAAAAAATCCTCGCCGGGCGCGGTGGCTCAAGCCTGTAATCCCAGCACTTTGGGAGGCCGAGGCGGGTGGATCACAAGGTCAAGAGATCAAGACCATCCTGGCCAACATGGTGAAACCCTGTCTCTACTAAAAATACAAAAAATTAGCTGGGCATGGTGGTGCGTGCCTGTAATCCCAGCTACTCAGGAGGCTGAGGCAGGAGAATTGCCTGAACCCAGGAGGCGGAGGTTGCAGTGAGCCGAGATTGCGCCATTGCACTCCAGCCTGGATAACAAGAGCGAAACTCCGTCTCAAAAAAAAAAAAAAAAAAAAAAAAAAAATCCTCAAAATCCAGTGTCCTTTCTCTTCTAGAACCACTACCAGCCTGATGAGTCGAGCCTTTCCTTAGATCAGACCTTTACAATAACCACTTAGTGTCCTGGCTCTGAAAACTCCTCCTTTGGTCTTTGTCTTAGTTGGCCACCTTGAACTCTTTTTGCCGGGCCTTCTCCCTCCACAGGCCACTTACCTCAGCAGGGGTCTTATTTCCCAGCTGCTGGGAGATGATGCTGAAGGTCTGTGGCTGTGCTCCTTGCTCCTGGCACATGGTGAGGATCACACGGTCAGCTTCCCTCCTGAGTTCAGGCAATCTGCCTGTCTCAGCCTCCCAAAGTGCTGGGATCACAGGTGTGAGCCACTGAGCCCAGCCTGTTTCAGTTTTCTATTAGTTTAGTCCATTCTGTTAACTATTGTTCTGGTTGATATTTACAAACATTTTAGCTTTTCATGAGTTCTGTAGTATTTCTGTTATCAGGGGCTTTGGGAGAAGTCTCTGAGGTATCAATTCCTGATGGAGATTCATGAACAGGGGACGTCCTGTCTCTTGTCTTCACCCTAGCTCTGCTTGAGAGCAGCCATCTCTCTTGAGTCTCTGGTTTCCCGGACACATGTCTTCTCCCTGCATCTCTGGTCTTTGAGGAAACAGGATTCAGGAAGGAAGCGGGGGTTTCCACGGTACCAGGCAATTTCTCAGTTTCGGATGCATCCCAGACCAGCATCAAAGCCTCTGACTCACCCACGGCCTTTTGGCCCTCTCTCTCTTTCTGAAGTCTGGGGGATGCCTTGGCGCAGGGGAGAACCTCAGGCCCAACCTGGTTTCTCTTAACAGTGTATAGTACAGCTCCAGTTTTGGGGGGAAACTGAGGAGTCTCTGGTGAATGAGGTGGTGGGCCATCCAGGAGCCGCTCTGTAAGAGTCACTTCTCGAGGGGACGGCAAAGTGCCCCCCACTGCCAATCCTGCTTAGGAGGAAAATAAGGATCTCAGGGTACTGTCAGGATCGAGATGCACCTAAGCATGAGAAATTACAATAGGGTCACTGTGGCCAGGTACTGTGCGAACATTCCGCTACAAGAGGGCTGGCATGGTGGCTCACACCTATAATGCCCGCACATTGGGAAGCCAGGTGGTGGGATTACTTGTTGCCAGCAATTTGAGACTAGCCTGGGTTCAAGCAATTCTCCTGCCTCAGCCCTCTGAGTAGCTGGGATTATAGGCATGCACCACCACGCCCAGCTAATTTTTGTACTTTTTAGTAGAGACGGGGCTTCACCATGTTGGCCAGGATGGTTTCGATCTCTTGACCTCGAGATCCATCTGCCTCAGCCTCCCAAAGCCTGCTAAGTTTTTGTATTTTTAGTAGAGACAGGGTTTCACCATGTTGCCCAGGCTGGTCTCCAACTCCTGAGTTCAGGCAATCTGCCTGTCTCAGCCTCCCAAAGTGCTGGGATCACAGGTGTGAGCCACTGAGCCCAGCCTGTTTCAGTTTTCTATTAGTTTAGTCCATTCTGTTAACTATTGTTCTGGTTGATATTTACAAACATTTTAGCTTTTCATGAGTTCTGTAGTATTTCTGTTATCAGAAGCCTGCATTTGAGAGCACCTCTTAAAGTCCTACAACTGATTGCAAACCATTTTTTGAAGAGGATTAAAACAAGACAAAAACCATCTGTAAATGACAAAACGTCCAGGTGGTTACAGTCAAGAACATGACTGAGCAGCTGGGTGTGGTGGCTCACGCCTGTATTCCCAGCACTTTGGGAGGCTAAGGCAAGTGGATCACCTGAGGTCAGGAATTCAAGACCTCAATATGGCAAAACCTCATCTCTACGAAAAATACAAAATTAGCTGGGTGTGGTGGCAAGCACCTGTAATCCCAGTCACTCCAAAGGCTGAGGTGGGAGAATCGCTTGAACCTGGGAGGTGGAGGCTGTAGTGAGCTGAGATCGTACCACTGCACACCAATCAGTCTGGACAGCAGAGTGAGGCTACATCTGAAAAAAAAAAAAAAAAAAAAAAAAAAATGGCCAGGAGTGGTGGCTCACACCTGTAATCTCAACACTTTGGAAGGCCAAGGTGGGCGGGTCACCTGAGGTCAAGAGTTCAAGAGTTTGAGACCAGCCTGGCCAACATGGTGAAACGCCATCTCTACTAAAAACACAAAAATTATCTAGGCATGGTAGTGGGTGCCTGTAATCCCAGCTACTCAGGAGGCTGAGGTAAAAGAATTGCTTGAACCTGGGAGGCAGAGGTTGCAGAGAGCTGAAATCCAGCCACTACACTTCAGCCTAGGCAACAAAAGTGAAACTCTGACTCAAAAAGAAAAAGAACATGGTTAACAATGAAATTTGATTATCGCTGTGGTCTATAATAGTTTAACATAATTAATTATGATTGATAGGGTATATTCAGACACTAGGAGTTCACACATCTCATATGATTTTGGAAAATATATTAATATTACTGAAATATAACCTGAACAAGATTAAACATAATCGTTGCAATTCCACATACCTAAATATATCAGATAATCCTGTTCATCTGTCTTCCCATGCTCCAGGGGCCCTCTGTAGGATTCAAAAGTAAGGGTTAGGAAAGACCATCTTAAAACTGAAATTTGATTTTTTTTTTTTTTTTTTTTTTTTGAGACGGAGTTTCGCTCTTGTTAACCCAGGCTGGAGTGCAATGGCACGATCTCGGCTCACCGCAACCTCCGCCTCCTGGGTTCAGGCAATTCTCCTGCCTCAGCCTCCTGAGTAGCTGGGATTACAGGCACACGCCACCATGCCCAGCTAATTTTTTGTATTTTTAGTAGAGACGGGGTTTCACCATGTTGACCAGGCTGGTCTCGATCTCTTGACCTCATGATCCACCCGCCTCGGCCTCCCAAAGTGCTGGGATTACAGGCTTGAGCCACCGCGCCCGGCCTGAAATTTGATTTTAGGAAGCCTGTTGAGTATGTTACAGGTTTAAAACGGTTGATATGAAATAGCATTTCAGATTACCATAAATCATTTGTTTTGCCAAAACGATGACTCTAGAATTTGAAAAAGCAAAACGCTTTTTAAAAAAATTTTGAGGCGGAGTTTTGCTCTTGCCCAGGCTGGAGTGCAATAGCATGATCCCCGTTCACCACAACCTCTGCCTCTCAGGTGCAAGTGATTCTCCTGTCTCAGTCTCCCAAGTAGCTGGGATTACAGGCATGTGCCACAACACCCAGCTAATTTTGTGTTTTTATTTTTATTTATTTTTATTTTTTTCGCCCTCTCAACCCAGCTTTTCCCGACTCTGGGAAGCACCAGGAAGAAAAGGCCAATTTTGTGTTTTTAGTAGAGCGGGGTTTGTCCATGTTGGTCAGGCTGGTCTCGAACTCCCGTCCTCAGGTGATCCACCTACCTCGGCCTCCCAAAGTTCTGGGATTACAGGTGTGAGCCACCACATCCCGCCAAGCAGAATCCTTTGATTCGCCTTTACTATTACGTGAAAATCCTGTTCAAGAGAGAAAGCCAAATTTTCCCCTTGCATAACTCTGCTATTAATGTTAACCCCAATTTTAATGAAACCCTATAGATTCTATTCAATCTTAATCAGTTTGACCATGAGGTGAGATTTTCACGAACCTCGCATAACCCTTTACAAATCTTGCTACAGAGATTAGCATTTTTTTTTTTTTTTTTGATACGGAGTTTCACTCTTGTTACCCAGGCTGGAGTGCAGTGGCGTGAACTCAGCTCACTGCAGCCTCCACCTCCTGGGTTCAAGCAATTCTCTGCCTCACCCTCTTGAACCGCTGGGATTACAGGCACCTGCCACCGTGGCCAGCTAATTTTTGTATTTTTAGTAGAAATAGGGTTTCACCATCTTGGCCAGGCTAGTCTTGAACTCCTGACCTCGTGATCCACCTGCCTTGGCCTCCTAAAGTGTTGGGATTACAGGCATGAGCCACTGCGCCTAGCCTAGACCACGTATTTACATCTTCAAGACATCTGCACTTTACCAATAAATTTTAAGGATGTTTTTATTTTTCAAAAATTAAAGTCACATGAACTGAAAGGTACCGAAGGCTTCATTTTCCCTTAAAAAAAAAATTTGATCCAGCTGGGCACGGCTCAATCTCCCAACGTGTTAGGATTACAGGTGTGAGCCATTTGATTCAAATCGCGCACACCTGTAATCCCAACAGTTTGGGAGGTCAAAGCAGGCAGATCAGGTCAGGAGATGGAGACCATCCTGGCTAACAAGGTGAAACTCTGTCTCTACTAAAAATAAAAGTTAAAAAAAATCAGCGTGGTGGCGTGTGCCTGTAGTCCCATCTACTCTGGAGGCTGAGGCAGGAGAATCACTCGAACCTGGGAGGCGGAGGTTGCAGTGAGTGGAGATCGCACCACTGCACTCCAGCCTGGGCGACAGAGCAAGACTCCGTCTCAAAACAAACAAACAAAAATTGATACAAGCACTTATCCTTCTTTAATTCAATTAATTAGAGTTCTGTTTTTTTGTTTTTTTGTTTTTTTTTTTGTTTTTGTTTTTGTTTTTTTTTTTTTGAGATGGAGTTTCGCTCTTGTTACCCAGGCTGGAGTGCAATGGCGCGATCTCGGCTCACCGCAACCTCCGCCTCCTGGGTTCAGGCAATTCTCCTGCCTCAGCCTCCTGAGTAGCTTGGATTACAGGCATTTGCCACCATGCCCAGCTACTTTTTTGTATTTTTAGTAGAGACGGGGTTTCACCATGTTGACCAGGATGGTCTCGATCTCTCGACCTTGTGATCCACCCGCCTCGGCCTCCCAAAGTGCTGGGATTACAGGCTTGAGCCACCGCGCCCGGCCTACAGTTCTGTTTTTTTTTTTTTTTTTTTTTCACAGCAACCTCCACCTCCTGGGTTCAGGCAATTCTCCTGCCTCAGCCTCCTGAGTAGCTGGGATTACAGGCACGTGCCACCATGCCCAGCTAATTTTTTTTGTATTTTTAGTAGAGACGGGGTTTCACCATGTTGACCAGGATGGTCTCGATCTCTTGACCTCGTGATCCACCCGCCTCAGCCTCCCAAAGTGCTGGGATTACAGGCTTGAGCCACCGCGCCCGGCTAGAGTTCTGTTTTAATAGACATCACACACATAACCCATATATGACTATACAGACAGAAGACAGAAGATCCAGCAGCTCAGGATGGAGCTATTTAGGAACAGGACTAGAAAAGGCATGTAGTTTTGGGGGTCTAATAAACACTCATAGTTGGAAGACAAAAACAGATTTTAAGAGGGATTCCAGGGGTTC